ATTTTCTAAGCTCCTGAGTGAGAAGTGGCCCAGCCTTTGCTGGTCACATGATACAGTGTAGCCAGCAGCTGTGCCTTCCTGACCGGATAGGGTCTTACCCCCTCATAGTTCTCCATGCTGCCTGGTACATAATAGGTCCCCTGGGGAAGTTTAATCGAATGCAATTGCCAACTGGCCTTCCCCATCAAAGAAAATTCTCACCTCTATTCCCCATAAATATAGAAAAATGATCCCTTTCACTCTCTTCTCTGAACTTCATTTTCTACCAGAGAAAGTCAATAAAAACCGTGCCATCTAGGGTGGAAAACATTCTCCAGCCTTCTCGGGAAGTGACCTAACAGTGAATAATAACAAATAGGAGACGGTGTCAGTAATAAATGACCTTATTACTCAGTCCCCCAAAAGAGATTTCCAATATTGTGTACTTTGAGCTTTCAACGAACTTGAGTGTCAGCTATTAGTTGGTTCCAAATAAATCAAAAGCTTAGCAAAGACCATCTACATAATCACATGGCTATTAAAAAGAAATGTAAGATCAAAGATCATCCATCCATGTGCAAAGACTGAAAGTCTCCTTTGACAAAATTAAGTAATGCCTTTCCCTGTTTCTCGCAGGCGTATACTTCTGACCTACCCACCTTCATAACTTCCCCTTCTTCATCATATAAATGGAGAGTTAAACTCATTTTTTCTTCCATGTTCTCTACGTCTCAACAGAGATGTCCCCAAACACAGTTACACTGTCCTGTTCATCTGTGCATACCTCTGCTCAGCACCTGCCATACTCAATAACTGAAAAAAAAAAAGTTGTAAAGATTCTTTAAATTAAATTTTAATGGCTTGTGATTCAAGGTGTTAGTCACAGTTCAGATGATTCCATATATAAAAATAGACTAAGTGTCATCAGCAAGATGCTCTTTAAATGTCTCATTGAGGCAAGCCAAACTCAGGAGAAGGGCAATTTTTTTTTTCCTGGCATCGGTTTGCAGCCATCCATTCTTTCAGAAAGTATTTGCTGAATATCTGTTAAGAACCAGTCCTGTAAACCATTATAGAGTCTTTCATTGGATGTGCCTGATGCCTGTCTCATTACCTTTGATTTCTGAATGTTTCATAAAGAATTATGAAGGAATTAAATTCTTGAACTAATCAGGCCTTGAACTCAGCACTGAGAATATGCTATTAGTAAGATGAATTTATTATCACAGTATTAGAGAAATTTTAGATAAAAGATGTTAGGGGCTCGGGGAAACAATACAGTGGGAAGATGAAGGTTTAGCATACACAAGTTATTGGGTTAAATCCATTCCCAAAGCCATTCAGGAAGTGAAAATTAGTATACAATAAACCTATGATACTTCCTCAACAGAATCAACAGAGGTTGCTGGCAACCAAGTTCACAAAATAAACTGTCCCCTAATCCAAACCATGGCTCCTTAGCAAAGCTGGGTTTGAGTTTTTCCCTAAAAATTGAGCCCTAGACAGGGCCAAGAAAGGAAGGGTCCTCCTTTCTAACAGAGGTAAAAGTATTGATTTGGAGCTAGGACTCCATATGGCAACATTCCTCCTGTTGTGTGGACTGGGTAGAAAAGAAATCATCTGCCTCTGGATGGAGTTGATCACCAGAAGGCAGAGGTCCAGCACAAGGACAGAGGTGAGGCTCTCTGCACAGCATCCTTTCCTTCACTTTAGCCGTCAGCACCTTACAGTATAGCTCTGACTGGGTCAGAACTCTGTAGGCCAGGCAGCCCTCCTGCCTCTCCCTTCCTCTTGAGTCCTGGAACTAAAGGTTTACATGAACTAAACCCATTCCATTTTTAAAATGTAACTACAGGCTAGTGAGACTGATTCAAAGGTAAAAAGCACTTGCCTCCTGAATCTGATGACATGAGTTCAATCCCCAAAAACCAATAGGACTCCTTAAAGTTGTTCTCTGGCTCCCACAAATGCGTATATGCATGTATGCACGGAGGAACACAGGCATGCATTCAGTGTATGCACACATGCATCAAGTCCAGAAATAACAAACAAAATCTCTTGTAAAGTTTAGCTACTTAGGCCAAGTGTAGTGGCCCACATCTGTGATCCTAGCACTTGGGAGGCAGGAGCAGGAAGCTCATCACTTTGAGACCAGCCTAGAGTACCTTGTTCCCGTCCCCCCAAAAACAACAGCAATAAAACAAAACAAGCAAACAAAGAGCTGGAGTTGCAGCTCACTGACATAGGTTTACAAAACCTATCCTTGGCCGTGAGGCCAATTGTAGCCCCCAGTACCAAAATAAGCAAAATTACTTAGATGGTATACGTGAGGGGCTCAGGAAAAACTACTCACAACTGCTTTGTTATCAAGGGAAAGGTTCTTATTGTTAATAAGAGAGAGAAAGAGAGAGAGATTCAAAGGCACCTGGGAGAGACCAGAGCAGAGGAAAAGAGAAACAGAATGGACATTGTCAGGGCTAGGGAAGGGGGAGAGTGGGAGACAAGAGTGGAGACAGCAAGAAAGCAGGAGATAGCAAATAAAGTATAACAAGAAAGAGAAGAAGAGGATAGCAGAAGAGAGAAAGCATGGGGTGGACAAACCATGTGGATTGTAAGGAGGATGTGTAACTGGGGGTAGGGAGGACCAGAATGCCACTTGGGGCTTTGAAATGTATAATAGGTACTTGTGGCACAGAGGAAGCCTGGAGGCCAGCATGGGCGCTGATATTCTGATAGCCACCACAGGTATGTGTCAATGGATAACCAGGGGAGATGAACTCCTTTGGGGGATGAAAATCCAGTTCCTTACAAGTTCCTTAGGTACAGTACGCTGGCTTTTATCTAGTTTCTGTAGTCCAGGTGGAGTTCACTTCTGGATACAGAAGGAGAAAAGGAGGTCAAGAGACCAGAAGAGACGATGAGATTAATTGTTTTCTTCTCCTGCAACTCAGTTGTTACTTTTTGGAGATAATCAGAATTGACTGGCTCATCTTGGGTCATTTGTCCATCTGTAGCCAATCGATTTCGGCCATGGGATTGGGGTCAAAAGACTAGATGACTCTTTGAAGCATACCCTCTCACTTTGACATGTGGTGAGGGAGTGGAAGCAGTTGTTAGAGAAGGAGAAATTGTGCAAAACTGGAGACACAAAGATGTCTTCTTTGCTTTCTTTGTTTCCTTCCTTCCTTCCTTCTTTCCTTCTTTTTTTTTTTTTTTTTTTTTTGACAGAGTCTTACACTACGTTTGGCTGGCCTAGAGCTCACCATTTAGACCAGGTGTGGCCTCAAACTCATAGAGACCCACTTGCCTATGTCTTCCAAGGACTGCATTTAAAGGTGTGCTTCAGCTAAAGACAATCTTACTCTGAGGTGTTCATGAGCTTCACAATCTTTTAATTCCATTCCTATTATTGAGAATTTTTCAGCCGTCCCTCCAGGTCCTTCTTGTGTGAATACTCATCTCCCTGTGACTTTTCTGTAACGAGAAGATAGTAGGGGCACTCTCAGCCACTTGGCAGTTATTTGAGATGACTCAGAACAGAAGTCGGACAGTTTCACCATAGGAGACTCCCTCATCCCGAAATCTGAAACTTGAATTGGTCCAGAATCTGAAATGTTTTGAACACTGACTAGATTCACAGGTGGAAAATTCCAAGCCATGAATCCTCATCCCACATCAAGATTCTTTGAAATATTGTATGCAGCTACTATCATAATATCATATGTAGAAGGCCTCCGGGAACTGTAGGTCAGTTTTATGGTGGAATGTACATCCCATCCCATATGGGTATGCAAATATTTCAAAATCTAAACTCATCTTAAGTCAGAGATACCCCGGCCTCAAGCATATCTTGTGGGCTACTCAGACTGCGCTACATGGCTACCCTAAGTGTGTTTCTCTCACCACATCTGGTAAAACACTGAAGTGTATAAAATGTTGATCCTTAAAAGACAGAGACCAGGAATTATCAGTTACAAGCAGGAGCCCCTCATCGATGATCTTCAGAAGCTTACTCTCCTGGGAACATTTGTATTATTAGGGAACAGACTTTGTGGACCCAGAGGCCTACCACAACAGCCCAATCCATTTTTGTCTGTTATATATAGGTCTCCAATTAGATTCCCGTCTCAAGCAAATAGCCATGATAATTTAAATTAATTTTGAGTAGCTTGAAGCTGACAGCCCTGGCATTGAAATACATGCTTTTGTTACGGAGGTAATTTATTTACATGGTGCTAGGAGCTGCTGCCTCTCTTGGAGCCCCTTAAAACCAAATCATGCAGTCTCAAAAGAGGTGACATACTTAGAAAAGGAGGAAGAGTGGTCTAGAACCTTGCTTATTTTTTCCGTGGGGTCTTTTCAATCAATCAGCCTCCTGGTTCGATGTGACTTTGAGGGTATATTGATGGGGGAAGTGCCATTCTACTTCCCTGATGATCAAGGAAATTTCCTGGAGAAGGGCAGTGTTGTAGAGGCTCCTGATGAGAGTGTGTGTGTGTGTGTGTGTGTGTGTGTGTGCTCAACATGGAGGGAGCAGGGACTGGCAGGGAGAAGGGAGGTATTTGGTTTCTACAATATGCTCCTATCTGACAAATATACATGGACCTTTCTCACCAGGCTGGTGTTGTAACTCCAAGTTTTTGTTTTCCCTCTTCCTCTCCCAGGTGTGAATGAGCCCAGGCAAGATGCTGTCACTGCTGAGGAAACAGCTGATTTCTATGTCATTTGCATGAACCATGCTGTGAAATGAACCAAGCAAGGACTTGTCAGATACTTCCTCCCATCCCCAGCTGAATACTCCAGAGCCATTGTTCCAGTGTTGTTTAATTGTGTCCTGTCCTCCCCTTGCCAAGACAAACCTCCCAGTCTCAGGGGAGGCATCCCCAAGCTTATCTGCTGGCCTGAACATGAACATGGGCAAAGCTGGTGATTGGGAGTGTTCCCAAGGGACGCGGGTCCCCATGGGGTCCAGTCTCCTTAAGCAGGACCTCTCATGATGCTGGCATCTGGGAGTGAGCACCATGCCCATCACCCAGGACAATGCCGTGCTGCACCTGCCCCTCCTGTACGAGTGGCTGCAGAACAGCCTGCGGGAGGGTGGGGACAGCCCCGAGCATCGGCTCTGCCAGGCAGCCATCCAGAAGCTGCAGGAGTACATCCAGCTGAACTTGGCTGTGGAAGGGAGCCCAGACCCACCTGATCAGAGTCCCCCAGAGATGGAGATCTGTACGGTGTACCTTGCCAAGCAGCTGGGGGACACCGAAACTGTGGGGCTCAGTTTTGGGAACATCCCTGTTTTCGGGGACTATGGTGAAAAGCGTCGAGGGGGCAAGAAGAGGAAAACCCAGGGACCGGTGCTGGATGTGGGCTGCATCTGGGTGACAGAGCTGAGGAAGAACAGCCCAGCAGGGAAGAGCGGCAAAGTCCGCCTACGGGATGAGATCCTCTCCCTGAATGGACAGCTGATGGTCGGAGTTGATGTCAGTGGGGCCAGGTAAGTAAAGAGATTATCAGCCAGAGTGCAATTCACTTATATCTTATTTGGAGATGTACCTATAGAGTTATGGGTCCCCTGGCAAGAAGCCAGTGACTTTTGTATCCTACAGGAAAACAGTCTTAGGCTCCTATTGCCTCATAACATCGTAGAAGTTAAAGCAGATGAGAAGAATGCTTGATTTTTTTCGAAGCTCACTTTCTAGAAATACCATTGATTGACCAGTATCAATATTTTCGCTTCATTTACTAAGAGCACCTAAACTCAAAGCATTCCCTGTCCCTGAAACTTGGGGGTAAGAAGAAAATAAACAGTATATAAAAAATATCCCATTGAAGTAGACTACATCCACTCAGCATCTCACTGCAATCAGAAACCCAAGGCTGTTGTCCTCAGTGTGCTTCATCTGTTCATCACTTCACCGACAACAGGCACAGGACACCCTTAGGCTCCAAGTGCAGACACCTGTCCTAGCATACCTGTATTTTCTACCCAACTCCTGCCCTCCAACACTGTAGGAAGTTAAGACAGGATAGTTATGTTGTATCCCTAGTAAATCATGCTTCCCCAAACCACTGTCTCGTTCAGAAATGGGCTAGGTGGGCTCACAGCACTCAGAACAGCCGTCATGGTTACAGTTTATCCCAGTGAAAAGATGAAGACTGAAACCAGCCATGGTGAAAGCCACAGGGTGGAGTCTAGGAGCAACCCCATGCCAGTTTCCAGTAGCGGCCTAGTATCTGCAGTGTACATGGTACTCAGAGGTCTCCGCATGAGTATTCCCACCAGGAAAGCTCATACGAGGCTCAGCGTCTAGGGTTTTTATGGTGTTGGTCATGTGGGCCTGACCTTAGTTACCTCATCTCTAGTCGCTCCAGCAGTAAAGTAATACCGTATGACCAAGAGCTACTACACAAACCATAGTTAGTATAAGATATGTGACATAGCCGAGTGCCCCCAGATACACAGAGGAGCTGTCCTTACACAGGATATGCCAAGGGCTTACCTGTTGCCTCCCAGGGCTGGTTAGAAGCCAGCCTTCCCTTCGGAATGTGTGTGGGTTGAACGCCTCAGTCCTTCTGAGTTCACACACTTCTGTGCACCTGGAGTCCTGGGCACCCATTTCCTCATAACAACACAGAACTTAACAGCAGAAGACAAGGAGACTAGTTTGATTTTTTTCTCAAGGCTCACTTCCTGGCCTTTTATGAAGAATTAAAAGACACAACACTTATTGAGCAGCAGCTACCAGAGCAGATATCTGCGCTAGCCAGTACCTCTCTTCTAGTCCTGTGTCTATATGAGAAGCTTAAATGGGAGAGCTCTACCACATTTACCTTGCCTGTGGTTAGCCAAGTAAGAGAGAGAAGTGGGACTTGAACCCAGGTAAGTCTAGCTCTACAGTTTGTGCTCCTAACCATGGTGTTTACACCTGGAGTCTTGAAGTCTGCCTGGTGCATAATTTCATGGATGGTTTATGGTTGCACAAAATACCTCCTTAGTATAACCACAACCACCAGGGGAAAAGCAAAACAAACCAACAGGGCCTCTTCTTACCCAAACCAACAAGGAAACAAGCCTTTTGCCTCATCTTGTAAAAGGAATTACACAGATTAGAATGGTTTTGCATTATTACAATGAAATACCTGAGGCAGGCTACTTATGGATCAAAGAATGCACTCAGCTCATCGTTGTGGCCTGTTGAAGCCAAGAAGCTCTCTGTATGTTTAGGCTCCAGTGAAGGCCTGATGGTAGATGGTGATGCTCAGGAACATGTTTGTCAGCAGACAAGAAGCTAGAGAGAGATAGGTTCCACCTTCCCTTTACATATCATGCTCCCAACTGAGCTGAGGACGTCCCACTCAGCCCCACCCCTTCTCTCCAGCACCTGCCAATATATTGCCACACCAAAGACCAAGCTTTCAACACATAAGCCCTTGGGAGACAGACCACACCCAAGCCATAGCAGAATTCCTTTGAACAACTTAGGTGCTACTGCAGTTCAGAGACTAGAAGCAAGACTGGGGAGCTTGGTACAGTTGTTTCTCGGGATCTGAGAAGGATTGCTTCCAGGATCCCTAGTGAATACCAAAGTCCCAAGAATGCTCAAGTCCTCATATAAATAGTGTAATATTTGCCTCTATAGTATTTGACTTCTGTGTGCTATTATTTCTAAACTGTTTATGATACCTAGTACAATGCAAATAGTTGTTAGCAATTATACTGTGTTGTTTAAGAAATAGTAACAAGGAAAGTGCTCAGTACAAATGCAAAGGTTTTTCCTGTTAGTATTTCAGCCTGCAGTTCTTTTACTCAGGTGCAGAGCCTGTGTATATGGAAAGCTGACTATTATTAGTATTTCAAAGAGTTTTTGAGTGTTTTTAATGTTTTTCCCCACTCATTATAACTGACAGTTTCTACTTTGCTATTTGGGGATTTGTCCTAAGAAATGTTAAGAAGGAACTAGTGTCCTACCAAGATCCCCATGTACCTCTGAATCATAGCTAGTATAAGGAACTCTTTGGGGCATCTGGTCTACCTCTCCAGTTTGCTTCTAAATTCAAAATTGTTTGATGTGGTATTATAGGCTGAATTGTACCCCAACCCCAAATTTCACGTGTTGAAATTTTAGATTCCAATGCCTCAGAACAAAAACTTGTTCAGCGGTAAGACTATTGCATACGTAGTTAGTTAATGATACGGTCCTTCTGAAGTGGGGGGTGGATAATGCAATGTGATTGTTGTCCTTATCAAAAGCTAATTTGGACACAGACACACAGGGAAAATGACATGTCAAGATGAGTTATGCTGTGACATGCCAAAGAACTGCCAGGAGCTAAGATTGATGACCAAAGCATGTTTGCCCACAGCACCGAGGGAACCTGCCTCTGCTAACTTCTTGGTCTTGTACCTTTAGCCTCTAGAGATTTGGGATTTTAAGTTTCTTTTTTTTAAGCTAGTCAGTTTGTGGTACTTTGTTACAACGCCCTTGGGGAGCTAACACAGGTAGACAGTAGCTTGACCTTCTTCATCTTCTGCAAAACCCTCTGTTAACTTTAAAGTACTGTGTCTGTCTTGGAGGAGGGTGCTTTGTTTTGAGTGTGGGAGGAACAAGTGCAAAATGTAGATGAGGTCATGATTGCTATTTCAAACTTACGTGAAATGCCATGGGTGAGTTTGAAAGCCCTCTTGCATGGAACCACACATCCATATACAACTCAGGCCCGTAGGAGCCTTCTCCATGGCTGGTACTCTTATGGCCCACAGTTTGCTTCTAGGTATAAGTTTTTGAGGGGTACTAGCTTCTTTCTTCTGTGAACTTCAGAGAACACTCTGAAAAAGTGAGGAATATCACATGCTTCCCTTGAAGACAGAGCTGGAAATACATGGAGAAGCCTCTGTTTATAAAATCCGTGGCCACCATTTTGGGAAATATGGGATTTTCTGAAATGTTTCGTTTATTTCTGTTTGGTGCAAGAAGAAATGGAGAAGGTTTTTACATTAGTTCCTACAAGGAATGTTTTGTAACCTTAGTCATACCCTCCACTAGCTCTCTATAAGTAAACCAGATCTGTTCCCTGAGGACACTTTAGTCCAAATTGGTAACAAAATGTGGAATCAATTAAGATGAACCCACATACCCAAACAAAAACAAATAGACTTTTCTGAAAAGTAAAAGGTCCACATTTCACTTTTAAAGTATATGTTGTTTTGTTTTTTGTTTTTTTTTTTTTTTCAAAATGTGAACTTTGGAGATTTTGTAGGTTAATAAATGTGACCCGAGTGCTGTTCAGAGGACACAGGGACACAGAGTGGCTTCTAGGGAGCCACTCTGGCTTCCAGGAGCCTTGTGACTGTGGGCAAGTTCCCTTGGCATAGGAGGCTGGTGCTGTTTTCCTAATAAGATGTGTGTGGTGGATTTCTCTGACACGGTGACTATGTAGCTGGCACAAAAAGCCGGCTCAGTCTAGAGTACCTTTTAGCACCCCACCCATTCAGCCTCAGGCAACCTGAACCCGCAGCACATGTCACAACAGAGAAAAGGCCTTTGAGTTTGAAAGAAAGAGCCTCAAAGTCTGCCCGGCTCCTCAGTCACAAAAGAGACAACGCTGGTTACATCACCGTGGCTCCCTTTATCCACACACAGTCTCTAACCCTGCACAAATGGGCTGTTTCCTATACGTACATATCTGTGGCAGGGTTTGGTATGTAGTAAGTGTGGTAAGAGGTTAGCCAGCATACATACTATTAAAATAGATCATAACAAACTACTATAATAACTTATGTGAATGTGCTTTATCTCTCAAAATATCATACTACACTGTATTTTTGAGCCTGTTGACCACAAATAACTGAAACAAACACTACACAGTTGCAATGGCCTGGTGCTGACCACTTACGTCAAAGGGACACGAACACATGCAGGCACAGGGTCTGACAGCTCCCCAGCCAGAGAGTGCCTATGTGTTCTTGGAGTGTGAGCAGTCTGTATGATCCCAGAAGAAAATCTTACGGGGCAAACGTGGCCTTCATACACTCAGAGTGACTGGCCACACGGCACGGGGGCATGCCACAGGGGCATGCCATGCAGTAAAGGCTGAGTGTCAGCCCTAGCCAACAGTCATGTACAAAAATAAGTTTAGGCTTGGTACAAGCTTAGACTCTGGTTACCCATGGCAACCTTGAGTTCTGTCTGGATTAAAGCAGAGTTAGGCAGAGTGTCAAGAGGGTACGAGAAGGTGTTACTTGAAGAAATGACTGCAGGTGGTGATGCAGAGAGAAAAGGAAGATTCTCCAATTATAGCTTTATAATATGCTCCCTAGGGCCACTTGGCACAGGATCTTGTCTCCCCACATATGTACCCAGAGGCACCTAGTGCTCCATGCAAGACTATATATATATGTGTGTGTGTGTGTGTGTGTAGTATACTATATATATAGTAAGAAGTGGTCATCTTCATGACCTAGAGATATTAAGGAAAGGTTAAATTATACTCAGC